AAAGCAGAACAAGCTTTTAACTTATTTAAATACAGGTCACATCTATAGTTTTATCTTAACATTGGGTGAAAGGGTATGATTTAGATAGCTGAAGTATTGATGCTATTTGGGTAAAAGTTTCATTCCATTTTGGCTTCAGTTAACGAGTCAGACTAGAGATGATTGTAGTGGTTCCTTCTTGCTTTGAAATCCATGAAACCATTCTATTTTCCTGTAAGAAAATTTTGTCCCAGGAAAACTGTTTTTAACACTTTGTTTATAATTTTAATATTTTGCCTGGCAGATCCCTTGAACTTTAACTGAAGTTCTGAAAATGCTATTTATAGAGTTATTTTGATGCATAGATACTATTGCAGAAAAAGCATTGCAATCTGTAAGTTACTTTTCTCAGTTATAAAAGATCATTCTTTTAACTGTTTTTTCAATCTTTATGTGTAGTTGTTAATTATAGTGGCACCTAATAGCATCACTATAATTAAAGTTGTGACTGGTTCAGTTATAAGCCATAGTTCGTAACCCGATGAGAAAAAAAATTAGCTTTGAGCTGAAACTTGGCATATGGCACAACAGCTTTAGGGCATGGTTAAATACGTTTTTAAAAACAATCTATTAATTAATTTTAGTTATTCTGCAGTTTTCAAAATTACTGGATAACATTTATTTGATTTGTAAATGTTTATGCACACTGAACATAAACATGTCTTGTATGGGGAATGTTCCTCAGATGGCAGATGCAGGGGAGCAGGCAGTGGGGGTGAACAGATACAGAGGTCAAGCAACTTGCCCCCTGCTTGTGCCTACCTCCTGCCTGCCCCCCTCAGAGGCTCAGGGCCCCCCTCTGCCTCTGCTCCCCTGCTTTTGCCTCTCCCTAGCTTGTCTGCTCCCCCCTTTTTCTTACCTTTTGCTCTGTGCAGCCAGGCTCTATCCCTGCTCCAGCCATACAGGCTGCACACTGCTGCTCAGGGGCTGGGCTCAATGCCCCAGGCTGCAGTATCCACAGAGCCTGCCGGTGCAGAGCAAGGGTAAGAAGAGGGGGAACAGGGCAGGCAAGGGAGCAGAGGTTGCAGGGGGGTGTACTTGATTCTAAGAGGAAGGCTTCCCCCCCCCCCCCGTATTAAATGGGGAAAGAAAACCACATCTTAAAATTGAGTAAATGCAGTAGTTATACAATGCAGCTGTCATACCATGTTGTCCAATTTACAGTCAGCACAAGTAAGGGAATCTTGGATGAAATGGTGGGAGAGGATGAGCCTATCCTGACCACATGCATATATAAACCAAACTGTACTGCATGATAATGTCTGTGAGAAGGTGGCTATATGTTTATTTCCTTGCACAGAAGTATATCATAGCGTTTTCGTTTATTTAGGTTTTGCTGAGTATAATGTTATTTAGAATGATAGGCTCATTTTTGGCACTTCCGCTGTCAGAATTTGGTCATATATCCATTTAGAGATAACTAGATATTGCTTGTTGAATTCTGAATATCAAAGCAGGTGAAAGTGGAAGAAAAGAAAATCCTTGGACACAATGAGAGGGGCAGAGGGAGAGCTGCAAGTCTGTCCCTGCACCGCCCCAGACATACACACCCTCTTTCCTGGCAGTGATGAGTCTTCTGCTGCTAGTGGGAGGAAGGAGGTGGTAGCAGTGCCTACACCTGCACCACCACCACTAACACCGCTAACCAGCAGCAGCATGACATTCTCCACCCCAATTTCAGTTGCCTAGCATAAGCCTTCCAGTGCCAGAGGAGGAGCTGAGGGCCATAGCAAAGGAAATTCTGGAGAAGGAGGGGGGAATCTGAGTTTGTGCTCCACACCTCTCAAAGTTCCCCTGGAGGCAGGCCTTCTCTGGAAGGCACTTTGGAGGAGGTTGTGGGGGCAGGTGGCTCAGCTCCTCCTCTTGTTGTGCCTCTGCCTGGTGAGGAGGGGGATAAGGGAGGATACCCACCTTCAACCCAGAAGCGGGTGGGTAGTGTAAGATCGCTCAGCTCTTAGTGGTCCTCACGCTGTTCCTCAAGACCACCGAGAGCCTCAGCACTGGCAATGCTTTCCTTAGCCAGGTGATCCCCATAGTGAAGGAGCTTGAGAATGAAATGGAGAAGTTCCAGGGGATCGATGTTCCTGGCTGGGGCAAGCTGTTTTTACCAGAGGTGCAGGAACTGGTGAAGCAACTGAAGGAGGGCACATCAAAAAATGGCTGGATCTGTTGTGGTCCAGTACGGTCCATGTGCTGGTGGGCATGTGCTACCCGAGGGTGAAGGGGAGCATCTGCAGCAGCAAAACCCTCGATTACTGCATGGAGGTGCTGGTGAACAGAGTCAGGGAGGCAGAAGGGCAGAGGTGGGGGGATGTGGGAGAGGGGGATCCACTTTCCCATGCCAACACTCCAACCATAAGCCAGTCTCCTCCACCGCAGCCTCTGCCAATGTGGGCCAGGGGTATGGCTTCAGTGTTGGGGTCCAGAGGCACCAGACCCCACGATTAGGCAGGTAGTGCAGAGGCCTCAGTGGCTACCTATCTCGCCTAGGACGTGGAGCTGCTGCACTGTGAGCCCTTGGCTTATTGGGCAACCCGCAGCCAGGTGTGGCAGGATCTGGCCACAGTTGCCCGGGAACACTTGTCCTTTCCACCCACCGGTGTTCCAAGTGAGAGGGTGTTCAGCATTGCTGGGGATGTTGTGACTTCCCACTTCACCTTCTTGGATCCTGGTTTGGTGGAGCAGCTGATGTTCCTGAAGGTGCTGCTGGGGTTCCCCAAGCTCCATGTGTAGGCGGAATGAATGCCACCCCTCACTTTGCACGTATTTGCTTTTTTAATTTGCTTTCAGAACCTTGAGGTGCATTTTCGCAGAAAACCCATCACCACACTGCCTGAAACATTGGCAGGCCTCATGTCCGCATGAGGGGCTACCATCCCTACTGTTTTCATTCTGCTCTGCCTTAACACACGCAGGTGATTCGAGTTTTGCTTTCACCAGTTTGAGGGGCACTTTCACAGAAACCCCTGCACCTATCTCCTTGAAACATGGCAGGCTTCATGTCCTCAGAAAGGGCTAGCATTTCTGCTGTTTCCATCCAAATCTGGAAAAAAAAAAAAAAAAAAAAAAAA